TCTATGTTCAGCAGTGGACGTTTTTGGGCTTATAGCAAGATGATCATGATGATGAAAAACCAGTCACAAGTTTTTTTTATCTACAAAGGCCAGCATACTACAAAAGCGGTTGGATTAATAAATTTATAAAGTTGAATGAATGTAACCGAATAAAATTAATTAGTCTTCAGCGAACCAGACAGGCAGCGATGTTCTTTCGAATTATCACTTGAGTGTCTGATTAAGTAATTGTTAAAGGCAAACCTCTGTGCCGCATTTCTATGCTAATGCATCGCGATATACAAACAGACAGATGACTTTACTCCAGTAATTGTGTTAAGGCGACGTTTGTACGAAATATTTCTATGAATTTGGATTTAATTCTTTCAGCTGTATGAGATTTGAATATCTGTTCATCTTGTAATAAGGCGCATTTTCCATTACATCTAGATATAGTATTTATATTTAGATTTTTATATTTAAAAGCTTAATTTTTTTTAATTATTTCGAAACCAATGTAGGATGAACCAATGTGACATGTTAAGTAAAAACGCGGGTTACTCACGTGAATATACTGAGAAAAGCTCTACTAGTTTCGAACCACAGAGGGGTTCTTCCTCATGAGCAGCGTGCGCGGTCGCGGCGACGTCGCCGCGACCGCGCACGTACTAGTAGAGCTTTTCTCAGTATATTCACGTGAGTAACCCGCGTTTTTACTTAATTTAGTATGTCTCACGATAGTTATTATAAAAACAATGTGACATGATTTTTGCGAGTGTATACGTACACGATACGTACTTTTTAAGATTATTTATACACTAAGAAAATATCGTAGGAAGCCTAGGCTTATAATTTCTAATTATAAGTTTGACTTATCATCAGGATCACAGGAAGGATGTGGACGATAACAGCTTAGCAACACATTATGCAATCAGAAAGAAATCTTCAGTTAATAGTGGGAGAATATTGGTTTAAGAAGAATAACAGGCAGTAGATCAAGAAACAGAATATGTACATATGTACAATCATTACGTTTTGCATATTGAAGGTAAGTATATATATAAAGGACCACCTCCTTGGCCGGATGGTCAGTCCGGGTGGTCCCGGGTTCGATTTTCGCGTCGGGCAAAGTATTACTGGGCTTTTTCAAAAAATCTCAGTAGTAGCACGGAGTCTGGAATTGTGTCCGATATAAGGCATTAGGCTCACCCTCTATTACATGGGACTCATAACATAAGTAGTGAAAAGTGGGTGTTATATTGTACAGTGGCATTAAGGGCCGTAATGTACACCTCTGCCTGCCGAAGTGGTCTTCGGGGATAAAAGACGTGATGTTATGTTATGTAATATAAAAATATATAACTACTTGATACTACGTTTTTTCTTAATTTAATAAAGCTATTCAGTGAAACGGGCCTGCAAATAGTATCCATTACATTAAATTGAATTAATTATGTAAGCCCGTATACTAAAATACTCGATTCGATTCAATCGTGAGTCTTGATTAAAAACTGACAAATGATCGATTTAGTGCCGTTTCATAACTTGAATCTAAATCTGGTTTAATTTTGAATGTCGATATTTATAACTGGACGTTGGTAGTTGGTAAAAAAAAATTGTGTATTATTTTTGTGATTGTAAATATTTTAACTTGACAGTGTGTGACAGGCTTTGTTTACTTGTCTTTGTGGATTTATTATTTATAATATACTTTAAAATAGAATACCAGTAAAAAAGTGAGTTGGAATCGTGCCCGGTATATGGCAATAGGCTCACCCTCTATTACATGGGACTCATAACATAAATAGTGAAAAGTGGGTGTTACATTGTACAATGGCACAATGTGTACCTCTGCCTAACCCTTCGGGGATAAAAGGCGTAATGTTATGTATGTAAGTGAGTTTGTTTATTGGTAGTGTTTACGCGAAAATATAATATGGAAAATGGGACATAAAGAAAATTCATACTAAGCTGCGTGCGGCAGTTAGCTACATTGTTTTAATTCTAAATCAATATGTTCATCTATCCTTAACTCAAATAGGCATACTAATACAAATAGCTACCAATGTGAAACCAGATTAAAATATAAAAATCTTATGTTTAAAACGAATAGATATTTAAAATTAATTAATTGAGCGACACAGTTCTTGCATTAGTGGAATCAGACCAATTTAATATGAGTTCTCGAATTAGAAAATGTTAATTTTCAGTGATTATATTATATAACAGTTGAAATTATTCACATTTTAGTTACTCTGCTCTGTAGATTCATAATGGCGTATTTTTGAAAATTTTACCTAAAGCGAAATATTGTTTCGAAACTTTGTTTTTAGAATACTTAGTTTTAAAGCCTTACTATTTAATCATTTTAATATAATATTTTTGTGCTAGTAAATAAATATAAGGTATAGTTCACTTTTAAAAAAATGTAGGAGAACCAAGCTTCGGCGCAAATTATCGAGCTCGATCGGAAATAGTACCACGGCCTTACAGAAAACCGACGTGAAACAGCGCTTGCATTGTGTTTTGTCATGTGAGTGAGGTTACCGGAGGCCCAATTAAAAAGGCCCCCTCTTCAATCTCCCCAATCTTCGAATCCCCAACAAACCTCAAATTCCTAATTCTAAAAAGGGTGGCAATGCACTTATAACGCTTTTATTTGAAACGCCAAATACGCCAATTGCTTACCATCAGGTGAACCGTCTGCTCGTTTACCGGTTTATTCCGTCAGTCTCTGTTCTCTTTGTGTGTGTGTTATCATCATTATCATCAACAAACCGAACAGCCCCTGAATGCTTACTGCTGAACTAAGGTCCTCGGATCCTCTTCAAAAGAAAGTGTGCCACAAACACTTTGTGGGGAGAGTGGAGCCACGTTGTGGGGAGCCACATGGTCGTCTACCATGTGGCTCCCCACAACTGTGTATTTCAGTACATTATAATAATTAGGTGTCTAGTTTCTTAAAATACCAAATATAATAAAACGTCTAAACAAACACACAATTTTGGTGCCTATTATTAGCCATTACCCCAAAATCTTGCTTGTAATTATTTTATATAATGAGAAAAAATTAATCCCCTAAGTGGTAAGGAAGTTCCTTCCTAATTTAATTAACATTACAGTTTAAAATTTAATTACGTACAGATTTTTAAAACCTGTTGGCATAGAATGTACTTTTAAAAGGTATAGGCGAGCACAAAACGCTTTGCCCCACTACGTTTTCTCACATAATTATTTTTTCTTTCACAAGAGTACATCTGCAAAATTAAAATAAACTCACCTTCATATTACGGCATGCTTGCTATTCTTTTTTAAAGTATTTTATACTTTTTTTAACCGTACTGTGCACCCTTAAAAATTTACATAGATCTATGTGATTGACTAGAAGTGACAACCGTATTTAAATAATCTAATTTAAGAATCGAGTTTTTATCAGACTGATGTATTTTTAAATGTAAATTAAATCTTACTGTCATTTCTACTTAAAGCTGTTTAGTGTGTTTTACGCGACTTAGGATAAATTTGAGCTGCAAAGCTCACTCATTGGAGGATCCACTAGAAGCGCTAGATCCTACGCTGAGACCTAATTAACATAGCTAATGGAGTTTAATGTTTGTGCTCAGTAATCTGATTTTACTTGGATACAGTAAACATTTACCAACACTTGTTTAGTGTTGCAAAATCATTAAAAAGCAGAAAACTGTAATCGCTTCTGTATTAAAATGGAACACCTTAATCTTGGACACGCCTTATAAATGTTTCTACAGACATTATTGCGTTTGAGCTTCCTTAAATGCATTTATTCGTAGCCTAAGCCGTTTGAAAACGTAAAATATATTTTTATTTTTCGGAGTATAATATTCTGATACTCCGCCACCGCCATATGTCACGAAATCACTTCCAGTATCCACATATCATTGTCGTAACTAATTCCCTGTGTACAGAGTGTCGGAAATTAAATTAGAATAAACATAATTAAACAGTTGGCCCCATTCGCTTCGACTTTCAAAATTACCGTATTTAGGGGATTAAATGCCGCCCCCAATGTTAATAATACAGGATTTTGGGACCAGAAAGTATAATATAGTACTTTTCGTATGCCATGGATAATTTTACTAATTATTTCATTAGCATAGAATTAATTCTTTGTCGAAAATGCTTTTTCATTCATTTATTTATTTCAATTAAATATTATAGTCATAAAACCAAGGCGTTATACATTTCAAATAATTATAAAAGAAAAAAAAACAAAACGAATCAGAAAAATCCCTAAATAAAACAAAAATAAGAATAAGAAAACTTTACAAACTATGACAGGAATTGTAAATAAGTTTTGTTAAATTAAGTAAAAAATGTTTTTGTTGAAGAGATGCTATTGGTATATCACAGTTTCAAGTCAATATCTACTCATTCGTGTAGAAACTCCACGTGTTGTACAAATTTTAAAATATGTAAGCCAACAAGCGCGGTCCGAAATTATCCTCACAGCCCTACCAGCCTCTAATGGGACTCCGAAGCATCGTAACCCTTTTTGGATAGGTACTTGAAAATTTTCCAAAGTTTAATTAAAAATGCCAATTTGCAAGTCTTTCGATATAACCTTTAAAAGTTTGTTGCAAACTTACATAACGATACATTATTTATTACAGCGAGTATGTACACGTCTTTTGTTCTCGTTTGAAGACGTATAAAACATCTTCAACAAAAAAATATTTTTCTCCCAATAACTCAAACGGTCGCTGACAAAGAAAATCTTTTGACTCAAAATTCATGTCGAATATTGCTAAACAAAGCGAAAAATTATTTTCCCAAATGTCATAACATTGCCGGGTATATTGCTTTAGCTTGATACATTGCGGTGTTTGTTCGAGTTTTCTAAGTTTGGTTTGTTAGTCGTGCGGCAATGTTAAACAAGTGAGTCGATTTGGTCAAGTAAGCTTTGCGCATGTATAGAACATAGTGCAACAGATAATTTTCCCGAGAGCGTCAAATTCAGTGTTCTCTGTGCCGTCGTGGGGGAGGTACGCGCCTCGTTTCGGCTCCATGCGAAGTTTCCTTCGCCTATTGGTGTTACGAAATTTAAAAATCGAACGCTTTTGTTATAAGTGGTAGTTTTGTTTATGGACGAATTTTTCTGGGTTGTTTTTGAGGTGAGTAATTTTTTTATGGTATTTTTTTATAAGTAGAGTTTCATTTGTAGCAAAAAAAAGTTTAGAATTATTAAGCGCGAAGATTTTAAGGCCAGTAACAGTAATTTAAAATTAACAGAAATTATGAACGATACGTATATTTATTATTATTATAAAATAATAACTTATTTGTGTTGTTGCGAAGATTACGTAACCCATTTAGAGTGGGCACTGTTAATAAATACAAAAAAGCATTTTCCTTAATTAAATATACATTAAAATCTTTCTTAAAAATGATAGCTTCTACGTTACGATAAGAAAATTCCTGTCAAAAATCACACGGAACATTTTAAACAATACAGACGAAATTAAACGTGAAAACTAAAACGGTGGAGGCAACCTGAAAACGGAATCAGTAATCTCCAGCTTAAGGACCGAGACACATTAAGATCCCTGGATTTATTATATAAGTAATTCTACTGGCTCGTTCTGGCCGACTCTTGATCTTAGCTTAGTGGAGTGAAATGCTCTCAGTGTACCTCAAACCTTACATCTAACCATCTATTGTAATTACGCACTAATAACGTTACTTATATATTATGTTCCTTATTATTTATGCTGGTATAATCTTCTTCATCTAATATGTCTTTGATCTCTGACGTCATTAATGTTCTGCCAAGTCTTATAGTAGTTTTCCGGGTATGATAATAATATTATGATCTATAACTGCACCGGTCGTGGTGGCCCGGAGGTTTACGACGCCCGCTTCTTATGCATGAAGGTGCGAGTTCAAAACCTACCAACGGCAAGTACCAATGTGACTTTTTACGAGTTATATGTACTTTCTAAGATTACTTAGACACCATTGGCATACGGTGAAGGAAAACATTGTGAAGAAACCTGGAATTATAATTTCTAATTATAAGTTTGGAATTGTGAACCCGCATTGAGCAAGCGTGGTGATTAATGCTGAAATCTACTCCGTGTGAGAAGAGGCTTTGCTCAGCAGTGGGCATTTATAGGCTGTTGATAATGATGAGGATGATGTTATCTGGAGTTGTACTTAGTTCTGGAGAAATAATCGCCTTTCTAAATAGTATGGTTAGACAAAAAGATTGGTATTGTGTTTGATAGAATTTGCGTAGGTAATCCACCTTTTGATGTAAACTACGAACTACTTTTAAGGAAACAGGCGTGAACAATTTTATGTTTTTCAAGATTTAGCTGAGTTTTATTAGGTTTTTATCTTGTTAGTTAACAAATAACTAGGCAAATTATTTCACGGATCTTATTCACACACACATAACATCACGCCTGTTATCCTGTTATCGAAGGGGTAGGCAGAGGTGCACATTACGGCACTTAGTGCCACTATACACTGTAACATCCTTTTTCACTTTTTATCTTGTCGAGTCCAATATAATAGGGGTGAGCCTACTGATATATATCGGGCACAATTCCAGACTCCGTGCTACTACTGAGATATTTTTAAAAACCCAGTTATACTTTGCCCGACCCTGGAATCGAACCCGAGAGCCCGGCAGTCGCACTTGCGATCACTTGGCCAACGAGGCAGTCATTTTATTCACGTCAAAAATAACTCATTTAACGACTGATTTACCCGATCACTAAAACGAAATATTGTAATCAATGTTGGCACTGGTATATTTTTGCGGGTCAAATGATGATCATTTGTTCAGTAAATATTTTACAAAATAGCATATGACTTGCAATGAAATTACAATTAAAAGATGCCATTCTGTTCTCTCTATTTGTTCATCCTAATTAACTGATGCGCCTATATAGTCTATGTCTTTGTTGGCATGTGCCTGTGCATAAAGCTTTAAAATAAAAGAAAATGTGCCAAGAACAACAATGAAGATTTGACAGTTTACGGGTACTAAAATCTAGCCTGGTTTAAAGGTGGAGACTGATTGGTGATTGATTTTTTTATTTAATTTTCTAAATATTACAGTTATCGACACAGGCATACCTAATACAATAAGTCAGTTACACTTACAAGTAAAACTACAATATTCTTCAAGATTACACATTACACATATCCCATAACCACGTATGTAAAATAACTTAGAGAAACAAAACAAATATATTTTCCATTTCAACATACCTAATGAAAAATAGAATCAAATTAAGTACGCACAAATTCTAGGAAATTAGTTATCAAATTATCAAATTAGTTACCATTATTAATTACAACCTCATTTGCTACCTTTATGAACTGGTTGAGTGTACATGAGAATATATTTATTATCAATTCTGTCCGCTTAATACGCTTAATCTCGCGTCATTGGTGTCTTCTGCAAGAGATTCGTTCTACATTTAGTTGCATTTGTGTGTATTTGAAGTGATGGCATTTCGCTCTTAGTGTAAAACTTATACACATATAGACTGTTTGTTAATTCTGATAGATTTGTTGCTTATTTTCTATGGAGATCTGATTATTGGATCAATAATGTGAGTACTATTTGGCTGAAAACTATGATGAATATGGGTTGGAGTAAACACGACACATTATACAGCTTTACCAGACTGATATCTGTAGTTCTATCTTTGTTTAGATATCGATACATTTTTGTCTATTCCTGTCTCAGCGATCAAGCGAACGAGCCAGCTTACAATACATTTTAATGAACACGCGTAAGTAATATATGGAGTAATAACATGAGTTCCAATGCCCGCACGATAATGAAGTAGTGGGCACAGGATGCAGTTTGCCATTTATTTTAGCTCTGTCACTGCCCACGTTTGGCGGAAATTTAAGATGAAGTGACAGAGGTTAAAGGTCAAATATTTCATCTGAGTTGATGTTGACGTTAATAGTTATTTAGGCACTACTTCTGGTGTCGCCCTAAATACAACTTCGTTGATCCATTAGCCGGTACAGTTGGAAAAATAGAAATGTGGCTTAACTTTTTTGATGAATGAGGATAAAGTCAGATATAACCTTCTCTATTTTTATTTTTATTGTTTTTACCCGACTCAACGATCAAAGGTTGATGTGAGGTTAATGTGTTTATTATCTATTGTTTCGGAAGAAACTGCTAACTGTTTTTATCAACTTGTTCATCGGTAAACTGACATCGAAACCTAGTTTGAAAACTTGCAGTCACTAAGAGACACGATCGCAATGTAGTACGGGGAAGTAAAACAGTTGCCAATCGTTCATGCATATCTGGTTCGAGTATCTACCGTGCATTTGAAGCTCCACGTTATTTATTTTGGCCTTTGGACGAGGTTTCACTATTTATACTTATTTTTGGTTTAGAAAGATAAGAGACAGATTAGTTTTCAAGACATAAGCTGGATAATTGGACATTATCGGATGACATATATTTGTGGGTATTTCAATTTAAGAATATTTATACTTTTATTAAACTTTGTAAAAGAAGTTGGAGGTCTTATACGTTCAACGAACCTTTTCTTAGGCCTGATTTTTCTATTATGAAAAATATTTTAAGTCTTCCAAATCTGAATTGTTCAACGACAAAGATTCATGTTTGGATTAAATACAGGTGTTTTTGTAGACTACTTTTTGAATGACAGATTCACCTTAATCCCCAACTTGATACCTGTTAGACAAATTAAAACCGAAGACATAAAAGTACTAATGGAATGTAATATCCAGGCAATTAATGGCTTCTCTTTAAATGAGACATTGACATTATTCTTAGGAATCCGTTGGTCTTTTAACACTTATGCTTGCCTAGTATCGTGAATCATTTAATGTTTATAAATCTTGAAAAATAAAATATTCGGCTATTTCCATTACAATTAGTTTATGTTATTCTCGCCTTTTATTGGTCAACTAAATGTTAATGTATAAATTAATAATTGAATTTAATACAAGTGGGAATGTTTTAGTCAGTAAGAGTTCGATAGTTCCTTTCGTCCTCCCCAGGGCTCTATGATGATTTCTCAGAAGGAGGCGTCAAAAAAAGATGGGTCAATAATCAATAGTTTTTGAAGGTTTAGCAACAGGGTGTATCCAGTTTGTAGTTATCTGATAATGACAGGTAATAAGAAAAATGAATTGCATAAAAAATAAATTGTATGCTATTAAGTATATGGAAGCTATGATAGTAAAAATTTACTACAGCTTAATAGTAACATCAGATTACATACTTAAATATAGCTTATATGTAGATGCTTGCAACTGATTCTATGTTTAGATACCACCACTAAAAGTCTATAAAGCCTTATCAAAAACGATATTACAAACTATAATGAAAAGGAAAGCTGTTCTCATCTTCTGGTCTCATAGTACGCAAGGAAGCTGTCTATACAAATATTTGAACGCCCTATATAGCAAGATGTGAATCTCAAGGATCCTTATGTGTTATGACATGTAAAACAAGAATAGGAGTGTGATATAACGCAATTTTAAACCTTGTTATAATGTTTTAAGGTTTGTAGTACGGTGTGAAATGTTTTTATAATAACTATCGTGAGACATACTAAATTAACTAAAAGTCGCAGGTTACTCACGTGACTGCCTCGTTGGCCGAGTGGTCGCAAGTGCAACTCCCGGGTTCGATTCCCGGGTCGGGCAAAGTATTACTGGGTTTTAAAAAAAATCTCAGTAGTAGCACGGAGTTTGGAATTGTGCTCGGTATATGGCAATAGGCTCACCCCCTATTACATGGGACTCATAACATAAATAGTGAAAAGTGAGTGTTACATTGTACAGAGGTGTAATGTGCACCTCTGCCTACCCCTTAGGGAATAAGACGCGTGATGTTATGTTATGTGTGAAAGTTGTCAAATATTTCCGTCCTCACAAATACCTACCCAATTGTTAATTAGTAAAATTTGCTTCAGATCCCTTTTCGTACAGTTTTGATTGTTATTCAAAACTGACCGTTCTTCTATACTACAGTTTGTTCATTTTCATTTGTAAAGTAAATATGAGTATTTAACCAACAAGATACTCGTTATTCTACATATGTATATGTGGAATTATTCGAATTACTTTTATTTTGGTATTGCGTCATTACGCAGGA